TCAACAGTTGAGTGAGCGCTCACTGTTATTGGTGTATTCTTCTAAATTTAAAATTCTGATTGGATGAGCTAAAAGAATACACTAATAACAGTGAGCGCTCACTCAACTATTTAAGATTTGTTCGCGTCGCATACTCCACATGCTTCAACATATTCCTACCATAGCTCCTACTCACTCGAACGCGCTCGTTAGAGTGAGTAGGAGCTACAGTTGGAGGAAATAGGAATATGTTGGAGCATGCGACGCGAACAAATCTTTAGTCCGCTGAATGCGCCCAATGAGACGCGATATGCTGGATTCACACTGCATTCGAACCAATCAGAAAACAGAATTCCGATTATACGAAGCAAAATCCATCGGAATCCTGTTTTCTGATTGGTTGCAGTGCGTCGTACGACGCACATCAGATGCAGTGTGAAGCCAGCATAAGATCATTGTCGTTCGTAATTTTCACGTTGATATTATATTTTAGTATCCTCTCTCGCTCGATCTTTATGAAATGCTTCATGATCCCACGGACGAAACGCACAGAAAACCACGTCAACTTAGGAACACGCCGCTACAGAAATATGTTCGACTCGCGGCACTTGGCGTAAGCCTTTTATATGCTGGTGCAATGTATATTGCCTGGAGAAAAAAGTAGGTTCATATGCTTACGTAAATTTTACTGACAAATCCTATAATTTACGTTATTTATTTTCCAATCAATTTCGGTGTATAATATTTATAATGTTTAATTAGTTCGCCTAGTGAATGTAAGCTCCTTGAATGTATTCTGTTTTAATTTAAATTTAATACGAAATTTTGTTTTGCAGTATCGTTCCATTATTAAATGATGAAAATATAGTCAGAGAATTCACTCTCCCAAGAGACGAGAGAGATAAGTTAGAAGATTACATCACAATTCCAATTTTGAGAAGTACAATTCAAAAGCTGACTGATAGAGAATCATGGATTAAATCGAAAGCAGAAGCTGAATCAGAGGATACACAAGCTAAAGCTGAATAAAGTTTAAACAACAGAATATTCAAAGTTTATACAACAGTAATGGACGTCGAAAGAAATGGATTCTGTAAGCCTAGTAATTTAGAAGGAAGATTGAGATTAAGGAAAAATGATAAGAAAAGGTATAACATAGCAAATATGTCAAATTAATAACTGTAGTCCGACTTAATATAACATGTATCTTTCTAATAACATATAATGATAAAAATATATTTGAAGTATAAAACATATCACATGTCTTTATTATTATATTCTTTTTTCCTAAATCAAATAAAATTAAATTTTCATTTTGTAAAGATATTTATTTTTTGTATTAATAAAAACTATTTGAATCACCTTGGGATACCTTTACTAACATAAAAATGTTCTTTTATTTAGTACGGATAACAAGGTTCTTTCTAACAATAATGAATCTAACATGGATGATACTGCTTGTACATCCCAACCTTCACTTGATGAAAGTATATTGGATTTTAAATCGCCAAAAAGAATACATTCCATGCAATCGAAAGTTATTAACAGCAACAGATTTCCAGATAAAGTCAAAAAGAAAGTACTCCATTCTAAATCTAAAATTATTATAAATGAAAAAACATCTAAAAATGGAAAACCATTACAGAAGAAAAAGATTTTTCGTGATGTACAACAACCATTAATTGAATCATCTTTTTTTAAATCTGAAAAGAAAGAAATAGAGTCACCACAAAGTTCAACTGCTCTGAAAACTGCTTTTGTATGTCCATTGTGTTTTAAAAATCTTAAAGATGAAAACTCACAAGCTGTACATATGAAGAGTTGTGCCATGAAAAATAACATGTCTACAAAAAAATTAATGGATGCTGTGGAATTGCAAGAACGGCAAGCTGCAGAAAGAAAATCGTTGGGGCTACTCTCCGCTCCTATATTACAAGATAAAAAGAAATTTGCTCCTCGTAAAATAGTGGGTATTTAATTGTTTGGATATCTACAAAATGATGATTTTTTTTTAAATTGCCAGATTATTGAAGCTTGATGGGAATTTAATTGAGATAATCTTAAAACTTAATTAAATTATTGACAAGACAATGATACAAATATTTGTAGATTAACCGATTTAAATAATAATTTTTTAGGCATCGCACGATGACCCTGATCTTCAGCTTGCTTTAGCCCTTTCCAAATCTCTATATGAAAAAGAGGAAATGGAAGAATGGGATGAAGTTCAGATCGTAGCAATATCCTCTAATCCATCAGTACCAGATAATAATGCAGAATGTCCTCAGAAAGCAACATTGCAAAATTTTGGGTTTAGTAGCAGTAGAAATGTATTACCAACAAACAATTTGCCCACCAGTAGAACTAAGAAAAGTAATTATATGCTATATTAATTGATGCAATTGATAAACTTGCATCTAATAAAAAATATATATTTTAATTTACGATTTTATGTTTTTCTTTTTTAAGGAAAGCTTATTGAACCAACTATTTTGCAAAGACGTACAGCTCTAGAAAGAGAACGTATTTTAACAGAGAGAATAGCTGAGATACTTATGGGTTGTAAAGATTTTACTCAAAGATCTCAGGAAAAAATAGAAGAATATAACGACGTTAAAGAGAGGATTGATATAAAGAGTCAATTACTTCAACAATTACGTCAAATTGTAATTATGCTTTATTTTTTATATAAACAAATTATTTTCTAATCCGAATATCAGCAGATTTTAAAATATATGTTATACATATATTAGAAATTTAAAATGCCTATTACAGTTTCCGAATATCAGCAGATTTTAAAATATATGTTATACATATATTAGAAATTTAAAATGCCTATTACGATTGAAGCTGGATCTTTGTTGCTTAAATAATTCAATCTTGAATTACTATATACTATATACTTACATATATACTATATATGTACTTGCATATATACCATATTGTTGTCTTTTTCAAACTGCGCGCCGAATTATTTTTCCGGACTAAATAAATGCAATTAAAACTACTCTAGTAATCGCGAATTAAAAA